GACTTCCTTCCCTGGGCATTTCCAGGGAGAAATTCTGAAGCCACACCTGGAACAGAAAAACATGGGCTTAAAGCTCCCAGGAATCTGAGGAAAGTGTTAGAAGACTGGGTGTGGGAGGGGGTGGTGGGGCTTTCCAGCAGTTAGAAGGATTATATATAGAAGGATTGAAGCAATTATAAAAATATTTCTGACTTAGAACAAATTTGCCTGAGATAGGCAATGATGGAAGCTGAATTAGAGTTGTTTTTTCAGATAAACCAAAAAAACCAAACTCACTGCCATCAAGTCGTTTCTGACTCATAGCAACCCTCATTGGGTTTCCAAGGGTATAAATCTTCACAGAAGTGGATCGCCCCATCTTCCATCCATGGAGCGGCTGGTGGGTTTGAACCACAGACCTACTGGTTAGCAGTCAAGTGCCTTATCCACTACGCCACCAGATCTCCTTTAGGACAGGTCCACAAATTCACGTGTGCATGCACGTGTGTGTATGTGTGCGCTTGTTGTCCGGTGCTGTCAGGTCAATTCCAACTCACATAGACTGCGTGCAACTGACTGGAACTGTCACACGGGGTGTTTTAGGCTGTGATCTTTATAGGAGCTGGTCATCAGGCCTTCCTCCCATGGAGGTGGATTTGAACCTCTGACCTTAATCGAGCTGTGTTGTGTCCCCAGGGCTCCTTTTGTTCACAGTCTTCAAGATGGTGAGATTTTGGAAGGCCTTATCTCAGGGTTCCAGAGCGCCCTCACTTAGAGCAAACAGCGAGAGTGGTTTGAGGGCAGCGTCACGCTCTGACTGTATCAGGACCATGGGCGTCTGCTGACAGCCCTCTGAGCCTCCCGTGGATCACAGAATTTGAGAGCTGGACTGCAAGACTCCCACCCCACCCTCATGCTTCCTGGACAGGCAGTGAGGTCCTGACCTGCCAGGTGTTGAGCTGGTGATTCAAGGCAGCAGGAAATGGAGATTCAAACCCAAACAACTCTGACTCCCAGCCCGGTGCCCTCACAGGCTTCCGTAGGGTCCAGTATGCTCGGTAAATGCTGGTGGTCAGCACAGATACATGCAACAGCATGGCTAACTCCCAAATACAAGTGAAAGCAAAAGAGGCAGGCCTTGTTCGGTGGTAGAATTCTCGCCTTCCATGCAGGGGACCCGGGTTCAATTCCCAGCCAGTGCAACTCGTCTGTCAGTGGAGGCCTGCATGTTGCTAGGATTAACAGGTTTCACAGGAGCTTCCAGAAGAAGACAGACTAGGAAGAAAGGTCTGGCCATCTGTTTCTGCGAATCAGCCAATGAAAGGCCTATGGATCACAGGGTCTGATCCAGGACTGATCACGAGGTCTGCACAGGGCTGGACGGCACGCTGTTCTGTTGTGCAGGGGGTCACCATGAGGCGGCAGCTAACAGCAGCAAAGTGGAAGGGGCTGGGCTCCAAAGGCTGTCTACCTCACAGGGACATTTACACAATCAGGAAAAGGCAAAGCCGAGGGAATGAATTCAGACCAGTGGTTGCCGGTGGTGAGGACACAGGAGGGCTGACCACAATGGGGGTAAGGGAACTTTTGGGGTGATGGAACTGCTCTATGTCTTGATTGTGGTGGTGATGACATCAACCATCTATGTGTCAAAGCTCACAGAAACGTACACTAATTTCAGATTCTTCACCAACACCATACTTCAGAGACATCATTTCTTCAGTCTTCCGTATTCATTGTCCAGCTCGCTCATGCATATAAGGCTATGGAAAATACTGTGCTTGGGTCAGGCTCACCTTGGTCCTTCCACTGAGCTGAGACCTGTCTACCGGTGCTCTTCCACCCACTCCTACCCTCTTTGTCCCACAGAGAACATATGTCTGGTGCAGGCTGGGTCTTCTCTTCTGTCCTGAATGCCATTTTTGTAGTGAAGCGTGTTCCCACCAGAGCCCCAGGGCTGGGCATTTTGCTCTCACCTGGCCAGGATAGAGACTTCTCTCACTCTGCGTCCTTCAACTGCATGGACCAAGAATAATTCTGCTCTGTAGCCACACCCCCTTGATGGCTTAGGCGGAAGTTACTGTGAGTGAGAGGCACCCTGTCCTGTGCTCGGGGGCTGTAGGTTCCTTGACACATTTACATAAGCATCGCCTCCCAGAGACCCCTGTAAATGACCACATTAATTATCCAGCACCTTCATGTGACTCTTGGGGACTACACTTTTCTCTCTGGTCATCGGAAATGGAGCATTTCTTTCCAAGGGAAAGAATGATCAGGCTGAATGAGACCACACTGACCCCAAAGTACATAATCCAGTTTTTATGGAAAGTGGGGTGAGGTGGGGCATATCAGTGTCACACAGCCGACTGTGGCACTGAAGGAACTCTCCAGGACACCCTCCCCCCACAAACTGCCTCAAGGCAGCCCCTGAGCACATCCCTGGCCCTAAATACCTAACGCTTCATTTCCATGTGGCTGACCATCCATAGACCAGATTGTTAACAGAACATTTCCAGACCTGTGGGCAAGTAGAAGAGGAGGTGGTATCCCAGGGCAAACCCTCTGTGTCCATGTCATAGCTAGCTGGCTCTAGGAATCGGAGTAGTCTCATCCCCAACCAGCCCCCCACCACCCAGAAACCCTGATTTCTCCTTTGGATGAACAAGGGCATTCTCTGCCTCCTGACGGTTCTAAATGATCGACCACCCCGAGGTCGATGATGTGTGGGACTGCGGTGGATGCAAAAGAAGTGGTTGGAGACCTCATCCATGAGGAGCTCCAAAAACAGGGGCTCAGGGTAGGCAGGGTGCCTGGCTGTGAGAAGATCGGTGCAGTAGGAAAGGGGGGTGTCCTGAAGTCTAGCCCTCCAATCTCTGTATTTTATAAAAGAGAACGCAGACACACGATGTGGTTCGTAAGCTTTCAGAGTCGCTGGCCCTTTGAGAACCTGGTAGAAGCTCTGGGCCGTCACCCAGGAAAACGGACGTGCACACAAACACACTGCATTGGTGTACAGTTCATGTACCCCGGAAACTGCCTCAAAGGTCATGGTACTCCAGGCTTTGAGACCTCAGATGGATGGGGAACCACCAGGAGCTCCTAGTGTGGTGCTCTTTCTAGGACAGTGCCCTATCAGCTGTGGTGGTCTCCAACAATATGCGCAGTCTCTCACCCCCTTGAGAATCCTTGTCCTGGAAGAGGTCTACATTGGGAGGGACTTGGGGTTTCTCTGGACAGTCCTAGTTTCTTCCTCTTGCACCCTCTTTCCCTGTGACAAGTGTTCTGGTTCAAATACTATGTTCTGTGGTGTCCGTAGAGGGAGGTAACCATTCCTTTACCCAGCTCACTGGGGTAGCAGTGGGGCCAGGGGCCATCTTAGTTTCCTGTGCTGCAGCCTACACAAAGTGAGCGGCTTTAAAGAACAGAAATCCATTGCCTTACAGTTCTGGAGACCAGAAGACTAGACCAGGGTATTGGCCTTGTTGATTCCTTCTGAGAGCTCTGAGGGGAAGCTGTTCCATGCATCTTCCTCCTGGCTTTCGGCCCCCAGCAGTCCTTGGTGTTTCTTGGCTTACAGCTGCATCTGACTCTGTTGGTCATTGACCTCCAGTCATTCTTTCTTTGTCTACCTGTGTCTGTCCTCTTTTATAAAACACCACTCAGATGTGATAAGGACCCACTTTACTCCAGTATGACCTCATGTTAACCCAATAGATAGCATCTCAAAGGCCCTATTTTAAACAAGTTCACATTCACAGGTACTGGAGGCTAAGATTTCAACATAGCCTTTTTGAGGGATATGGGGTAACACAAAGGAGCCCTGACAGTACAATGGTTAATCCCTCAGCTGCTACCCAAAAGGTCAGTGGTTCTCTCCATGGTAGAGAAGGCCTGGCAATCATAGGAAACACTATGAGGCAGCTCTATTCTATTATATAGGGTTGCTGTGAGCTCTGGTGAGACAGTGGTTAAGGCATGTGGCTGCTAACCAAAAGGTCAGTGGTTCGAACCCACCAGCCACTCCATGAAAGGAAGATGAAGCAGTTATCTCTGTAAAGATTTACAGCCTTGGAAATCCTATGTCCTGTAGGGTTGCTATGAGTCAGAATCAACTCCATGGCCGTGGTTTTTGTTGTTGTTATTTTGTTTATGAGCCAGAATTGACTCTACAGCACACAAAAACCCACTGTCATGGAGTTGGTTCCGACTCATAGTGACCCTACAGGACAGAATAGAACTGGACCACAGTGTTTCCAAAGTTGTAAATATTTGCAGAAGACCTTCTTGTCTTTCTCCCATGAAGCAGCTGGTGGTTTTGAACCACATGCCTTAATCACTGCACCACCAGAGTGTCTTACAACAATAACAAGGGGACAAAATTCAGTTCATTCTAGGCCTTTATTGCCTCCACAGTTGCCGTACATCATCCTGTTGAAGAAAGCACTGACCTCCAGCTAGACTTGGCCACCAGCGTACGGCAACATGTTTGTCCTCACAGAGTTCAAGTGTTCTTATTTCTAAATTTACCATTGTGGGATCTTTCATTTGCTGACAGCCCCATTCCACTCTTGCCACGACTCTGTCTCTGAGTGTTCATACATCCACACTTCCCTCGAATTGGTTTCCCAGAGGGTCCCTTACTGTTTTTGTTACTCTTTTTCTCTTACATTATTGACAAAATGTTTACTAGAAATATACTTAGATGAGCCACTTTAAGCATTCTCCCCAAAAGTCCATCCTACAAACATAATAAACAAACCTCAATTTTAGCAATAATACATGAATGCATTCAAATTGCAGTGGTTAAGCTGTAATTTTCATTGACAAAGATGAGATTGCCAGAACATACAGATGATTCCAATACTCGTCGTCAGGATGGGAGTTACTGTAAATGGAATATTTAGCCTGATGATTCTAATGGAAAATCATTCTCTTCTGTTCTAAAGCATTCAAAACCAGAGAAGCTGAGAGAGGTCACTGACCCCCAGTTGTTCTGCTGAGAAACAAGTGGACTGATTGCTATGGAAACAAAGGAACCTGAAGATTTGGAAAAGCCCTGGAAGAAACTGGTGAGAGGTTCATGGAAAACTGATGATGAGCCAGTCAAGGAGAGACCTGAGCTACTCTTGAGAGAAGAGGAGACATGCCACATTGACCAGGAGACCCCAGAACCCCATTGCTACATCCCAATTCAGAGAAACTCCATCTTCAACTGCGCCGTGAGACACAGAAGCAAAACCAAGACCCAAAACACTTCCACACAGAACGCCAGCCACCATCAGGCAGGTCAGTAGGAGGGACAGCTGTGATGGCTGTGCCTTCAGGTCCTTTGGTGTCATCGGGGCTGAATATGCCAGCCAGTTGCTGCTGAGTTGATTTCAACTCCTGTGTGTCAGAGCCAACCTGTGCTCCACGGGGTTTTCAATGGCTGCTTCTTTTGGAAGTTGGTTGCCCATCCTTTCTTCCAAGTCCATTGTGTGGCCTTCAATGGCCAACTTTTGGGTTAGTAGCCGAGTGTGTTTGCTGTTTATGTCATCCAGGGACTCCTTCGTGATTGTTCTGGTTCCCTACTTCTGCTCTGACAAGAATGCACCACAAATGGGACAGCTTTAACAATTTGGAGGCATTAAGTCCGAGTTCAAAGTGCCAGGCTCTAGGGGCTGGGTGAAAACCCCTCAGCCTTGGGGTCCAGCTCTGCCTCCTGGTCCCAGCCCGCTGGAGCTAGAGGCTTTCCTTCACTCAGACAGCTGCTGGCTGCTGAGGCTGCCAAGCCCAAGGTTGAAAAGTAAAAAGGCACAGCCCTGATGTTACCAAGCCACACGCGGGCCGTGAATTCAAGTCCATTGAAAGTCTCAGGGTTGGCAGAGCATGGCAGGCTGTTGACAACAACATGGCTACAGGCAGGGTTCAAGCATGTCATAAGCTAGAGACCATTCCCAAAAGCTGTTTCTTATATGCAGGAAGTAAATCACATACCCAAAGGCAGTTACTCAGCTGCTCACAATAGATCCCACCATGGAATTGATTACCAGTCTCATCATGAGGAATACTACATCCAGCTGCCCAGCCACTCAACCAGGCCCAGCCAAGTTGACACAAACTCAACCACCACCATGTTGAAAAGTCCTAATTAATTGAAAGGAGAATAAAAGGTGGCAAAAATTATCAAGGGCAGATCCAAAAAGGTGGAAAAGTCTGAAGGCATTACCTAAGGAATCAAATCCCCCCAAAGGAATGATGTGGATACTTTAGGAGAAAGTGTTGACCCAAGTTATACTGTAAGACTGGCTTCTATGTAAAGAGAACTTCTTGTTCTGAGGTGCAACACAACACTGTAAGCCATATGGCATTCTAGGGGAAAGGCTCAGAGCCGTCCACAATTAGGGTCATCTGGGAACATGAATTTCCTGAGTGGTAAGGTCCGTCCTGTTCTGTGACATAACTAGGGTTGATGTCACCCAGCGCAGTCACTCATGGTGTTACTCCCCTCATAGACTTCCTCTTGTACCAGACATACAGAATTCTTAACAATGTTTATGATCAGACTCTCTTCACTTCTCTTATCACAGAAAATATGCGGTAAATATAATTGTAATTGCTTAAGGGTAATATATCTTAGCTTATAGGAATATTAACAAGAAAGTTGTTTTGTAAAATCTTTCCACATCTAATTAAAACAACCCTAGTTACAATATAAGGAGCTCTGTGGTGTAGTGCCTAAAGCACTTCACTGCTAACCAGAAGATTGGTGGTTCAAACCCACCAGCCACTCCACAGAAGGAAGATGGGTGATGTACTTCTGTAAAGATTTACCACCTTAGAAACCCAATGGGTGTCACTATGAGTCAGAATAGACTGAATGGCAGTGAGTTTGGTTTTCTGGTTTAGTTAGAGCATTATTAGTGATGAGTGGAAGTCTTTTCTTATTTTACTCCTTCTTTTCCTTTAATCACAACTTCACTCTCCAAAAAGCTATTGATATAGCTTCACAAGCACGATTTACCACAATATTGTATCTAAAACACCAACAAATTTGACACAGTCAGTGACTAGGAAATTGATAGCAGCAACCAAAACAACAGTTCATCCTTGTAGCAGGTGCAGACAGAACCACATGATTTGAAGCATCATTGTAATTGGGGAATAATGACAGCTCTGACCAGAGCCATTAGAATGTTCTACAAGAGATTCAGCATAGAGTTTGAGCCTGGTAGATTGCCATATTGATACCTGGAAGGTGGGCTTACGAAAAATATTTTTGCTGTTGTAACTAACTACAGGGATATTCCTACAAAAATAATACATTTCTGCTGAAACACAGCACCAAAATTTTGGTGTCACTCCTTCTGAGTGTCACCTGGTGAGGCCCGCACCCTCTTAGTGATACTCTTAGTCCTTTTCTCTCACTGTGACTGTGATGACAAGATTGTCTTTTGATCTGAAAATGGGTGGGATTTGACCAACTTGCAGATACTTTCCTTGATGTTTTAGACCAGTTCCTGGCACACTGCCCCTCTTGTTGCATCAAGCAGAATGAAGTTCAGAAGCCTTTAAAAATGGGGGTGTCAGAGCTACAGACCCTTTCCCTGTGGCTTGTTCACATGGCCAAGTAGACAGTGTGCTAGGATCTTGGAGTGTGTGATAGTGTCCCAGCCCCTGACACATAGCACCTACCACCTACCAGACTACACGGTACACGGAGTGCACCAAAGATGGCAATCCCTGCTTTAGATCCAAGGACTTCACTAATTCATTCAAAAATATTGATTAAGCCCAGTGTTGGGCTGCATGTTGAACTACTTTCGAAGCACAGAGACTTAACAACACATATTATTTCTCATTCTTCTGGGAGTTGTTTGGAGTTTTCTCTGGCTGGGCCCACTCAGCAGACCTCTGTAGTCAGCTGACAGTTCACCTGGGGTTGGTGATCTGAGAATCCAGGACGGGCTCACTCACCTCTGTCAGGTGGTTCATGAGTCAGTTGGCCAAGGGGGGCCTCGGCTGGGACTGCTCATCTCTGCTCCCTGTGGTCTCTCATCCTCCAGCAGGCTGCCTCGGGCTTCTTCACACGGCAGCAGCCTTCCAAGACAGCACGAGCAGAAGCTGCCAGCCCTCTTGAGGCCCCAACTCAGATTTTGTACCATGTTACTTTTATCACATTCTGTTGGTCAAAGCAACTGACAGGACCAGCCCAGAAGAAAGGGGTTGGGGCCATGGACTCCACTACTTGATGGGAACAGCTGCAAAGAATTTGTGATTGTCTGCTGTCAACCACAAACACTAACAAAATTTTGTTTCAAGAACGTTGCTAAGCAAGAGAAACACAGTGATTGAAATACTGTAGTCATGGAAGCTGGATGGTTGGTACAGTCTGTTACTCTCTTAACTTTTGCATATATTTGAAATTTTTCATGAATTCAAAGTTAAACACACACACTCACTTATACCAAGAGTTGGAGTTCCTGAACTTAAGGAATCCACAAGAACGATTTGTTGGTGTAATGAAATTGGAGCAGTTGACAAAACATGGTTGAACGTAATTAAACCTTCAAGGGAAATACAAGGATTAAGGAAAGCAAATGAGTGGAGAAGCCCAAGATTGGTTTGGAGTAAGTACAAGGATAGCATGTGAGCATGAAACTCTCCTGACCCCTCCCAGCTCCCCTTCTGAAGTAAAAAAACCAAACCCACTGCCATGGTGTATACTCACAGTGCCCCTAGAGGACAGAGTAGAGCTACCCCCTGGGATTTCCAGGGCTGTCAGTCTTCATGGAAGCAAAGCCCAAACCACACCTACTACCGTTGAGTCAATTCCAGCTCACAGCCCCTATAGGACAGAGTAGAATTGCCCCATGAGATTTCCAAGGCTGTCAATCTTTATGCAGACTGCCTCATCTTTCTGCTGATGAATTTGAACCATCAGCCTTTTGGTTAGCAGCTGAAAGTTTTAACCACTAAAACTACTGGAGCTCCTACTCTTCCTGAAGCTTCTGCCAAATCAAATGGCTTCTTCCTGTGAGTTGCAGGTACAAGCCAACCCAACAGATAAGCAAAAAGCTTATCTCATTGGAGGGAAGAAAGTGCACCCTGGTTGTCACCAGACAGTGGTCACTTGAACCAGACTGAAGTGGTTAGCACCCGTAACTGCTTTGCAGTCCTGGAGCTAAGGTGATGTTCTCGGTGCACCACATTAAACTGTCAATGCAGGAGAACATACGTTTGAGTTCCAGATGTTCTAAACTTTTCTAAATAACCATTTTGGAGGATGTAAAACAGAACTGTGTTCAGGGACCTAGATACTGGGGGGGGGGGCGGTGATGGTTGTGAAGTGTACTATCAATGGCTCTTCCTGGGGCCTCTTACTGGGGCTGCATAAATGAATAGAGGAAATATTAGTGTCAGAACACAAGACAGATGGGAGGAGGCAGAAAGAGGAAGAGGCTGTTTTATCTACAAGGCTTACAAACACATCCAAGTTCAAGGAGAAGTCTGGATGAAAAAATACATATAATCTATAAAACCAAGTCCAAGGAAAAAGTTTCATACAATATAGTATTATAAACTACTGATGGCTTATTATTGCATGAAGGAGCCGTGGTGGCACAAAGCTTAAGAGCTCAGCCGCTAATCAAAAGGTTGGTGGTTCAAACACACCCAGCTGCTGCATAGACAAGAGACCCAGTGATCTGCTCCTGGAAGGGTTACAGCCGAGGAATTGACTCTCCAGCACTTAACAAGAGCAATACTGCAAGCAACATGTCAAGGTTCACCATTGTTACTGTCAGTCACAGTTGTCACAGTTAGTAAAGACAAAGAACTAGCTTCTTCTGGTGGGTCAGGAAAGACCTCCCAAAAAAAGATAATTTAGCTGAGTCTTGAAGGATGGGTAAGGGCATGGACAGAGAGAGAACAGGAGTGACCTTGGTTGGACATTTCCAGATACTCAAGTGACACCCCATGAGAGTCCTTTGTTGTTGTTAGGAGCCATCTAGTCAGCTCCGACTCATAGTGACCCCATGTAGAACAGAGCAAAATGTGCTGGTCCTGCACCATCCTTACGAAGTAGATCCATCTGAGCTCCTTGTTGTAACTACTGTGTCAACCATGTCGTCTTCCTCTTTTTCATCGACCCTCTACTAAATATAATGTTCTTCTCCAGGGACTGGTCCCTCTTGGTAATATGTCCAAAGAAAGGGAGATGGATTCTTGCCATCTTGCTTCTAAGAAGCTTTCTGACTGTACTTCCTCCAAGACAGATTTGTTTTTTCTTCTGGCAGCCCATGGTG